ATTATTATTATTATACAGGATTTATTTAGCGCCAACAGTTTGTGCAGCGCTTTACAAAACGAAGGTAGACATTACAGTTACAATACAATTTGGTACAAGAGGAAACAGAGGGCCCTGCTCGTTAGAGCTTACGCTCTTAGGAGGTAGGACTTCTCCTTTAAGCTCTGCTGAACCAAGACTTTTAAGCAGAAGGTTTCTCTTAACAGCTGCTATCATTGCCATACTGGACCCCAGGTCATAGATATTCATTTAAGCGAGCAGTGTTTCTCAGTTTCATACTGGGTCCATTGACATTACAACAGCCATTCTGCTCATCTTTGATATACAGGAGCCCTAGATTTGGATAGTTACTGTGGTGGCCATCACTGGGATCAATGTTTGTACCAACCCCCTGATACAAACTGTACAGCTGCTGTGCATAGCTTGTCTCATGCTATACGTTTGTATTTAGGCATTTGCTGTAGAGGTCACGCTAGATGCCATATTGTGCTGGATTCCCTTATCACAGGCTGTCACTGAAGACTCCCAGAGTGTTGAGTAGGCTGTACACTATGGCCCCTGCTTTGTGTCTTGGGAATGGGAGAAATGGAGGCTGGCTGTTATGCCATTTTACATCCCATTGTGGTTTTCCAACTTCTTTTGTTTAACAGAGGAATCTGTTAAAAAGTGAATCTCGCCACCATCAGTAAAGCTATTGGTTTTGCACTTTAACATACACTGCTCAAAAAAATTAAAGGAACACTTTGAAAACACATCAGATCTCAATGGGGAAAACTATCATGCTTAATATCTATACTGATATGGACTGGGTAGTGTGTTAAGAATGTTAGGATGTCCCATCGTTTGATGGAAATGAAAATTATTAACCTACAGAGGACTGAATTCAAAGACACCACGAAAATAAAAGTGAAAAAATGATGCAGCAGGCTAGTCCATTTTGCTGAAATTTCATTGCAAAAGTATGTATGGCCCACACGTGTACTTGTATGCATGCCTGACAATGTCGTGGTAAGCTGCTAATGAGACGATGGATGTGTCCTGGGGTATTTCCACCCAGATCTGGACCAGGGCATCACTGAGCTCCTGGACAGTCTGAGGTGCAAACTGGCACGTCGGTTGGACCGAAACATGATACCCCAGAGGTGTTCTATTGGATTTAGGTCAGGCAAGCATGTGGACCATTCAGTGGTGGTAATTCCTTCATCCTCCGGGAACTGCCTGCATACTCTCGCCACATGAGACTGGGCATTGTGGTGCACCAGGAGGAACGCAGGACCCACTGTACCAGCATAGGGCCTGACAATGGGTCCAAGGATTTCATCCCAATACCTAATGGCAGTCAGGGTGCCAATGTCTAGCCTATAGAGGTCTGTGTGTCCCTCCATGGATATGCCTCCCCAGACCATCACTGACCCACCACCAAAACAGTCATGCTGAGTGATGTTGCAGGCAACATAATATTCTCCATGGCTTCTCCAGACCCTTTTCAAGTTTGTCACGTGCTCAGGGTGAACCTGCTCTCCTCTGTGAAAAGCACAGGGCGCTAGTGGCAGATCTGCCAATTCTGGTGTTCAATGACAAATGCCAATTGGCTCTATGGTGTCGGGCAGTGAGCATAGGGCCCACTAGAGGACGTCAGACCCTCAGGCCACCCTCATGAAGTCTGTTTCTGATTGGTCAGAGACATTCACACCAGTGGCCTTCTGGAGGTCATTTTGTAGGGCTTTGGTAGTTCTCATCCTGTTCCTCCTTGCACAAAAGAGCAGATACCAGTCCTGCTGATGGGTTAAGGACCTTCTACGGCCTTGTCCAGCTCTACTAGAGTAACTGCCTGTCTCCTGGAATCTCCTCCATGTTCTTGAGACTGTGCTGGGAGACACAGCAAACCTTTTGGCAATGGCACGTATTGATGTGCCATCATGGAGGAGTTGGACTGCCTGTGCAACCTCTGTAGGGTCCAGGTATCACCTCATGCTACCAGTAGTGACACTGACCCTAGCCAAATTCAAAACTAGTGAAAAACAGTCAGAAAAGGTGAGTAGGGAAAAAAATTTCAGTGGCCTCCACCTGTAAAACCATTCCTGTTCTGGGGGTCATCTCATTGTTGCCCATTTAGTGCACCTGTTGTTAATCAATTTCAGCTGCTTTGGTGTTAATGAAATTAACAATCCCCTCTGCTACTTAACTGATAAGATCAATATCCCAGGAGTTTAATTGACTTGATGCTATACTCTGATTAAAAAGTGTTCCTTTAATTTGTTTGAGCAGTGTATAATTGATGTGATGAATAAGCTGGTTCAGGCGATTTACACTTGCTTGTGATGGCTCATGGAGTGCATAGCTGCTGTGGTATTTGGGGAAAGTAATCGGTCTTAAAGGAGAAGTTCACCTTTTGGACAAAAATAATAAATGCACGTTTTTTTTGCAGGTTAAAAAAAGTGCATTTATTATTTTTGTCCGAAGGAGCCTGGAAAGCATTGCACCAGCGATCAGTAGCATATCTGCTTGCTGTACAGGATGTACGAGCAAGCAGATATACTGACAGGAAGCTTCAATGAACTACCACGGCGCTCCACAGTGCCGTGGTAGTTAATTGAAAACTACAAGCCGACTGCCACTAAGGCTGTTGGGACTTGTAGGCACTCATTCACTGAACACTGTGAGTGATGTGGCTGTGTGGGCAGAGCCCTGTACGGCCACGCTGTTTTCAACTCTGACAGATAGTATGGGGGTGACCGATGGTATGGGGGTGGGGGATGGCGGGTGCGGCTGTGGCTATGGGAACATGTTACATGTTCCACCCTAAAAACAGGTGGAACATGTAACATGTTCCAAAGGTGAACTTGTGCTGTTGTAAACCTCAAACATGAAATAAGAAAAAAAGCACATCATTCTATACTGTATACTTGCCACTTTAAAACACTGAATGTGATTTCTCTGTGTTGCCTGGTTCTTCTGTTTTCAGTTCTGACAGCTTTTCCTGACACCAAGAGTTAGGCTGGCCTTACACTATACAATTTTTCTTACAATTTTCTGTCCAATTTTTAGGCAATTTTCGTTAATTTACCTTCAACTATGTAGTGCAAGGGTCTGCCTAATGGGATACAATTGAAAGTGTTTAGGTTTGGTCCATCTAAAGCAAAATTAGAGTTGCCATACATTCTACAATTTTCTTGAGAAGTTTGATTTACTAAAAACCATATAATATGAGGTCAAACCTAAATAACACTTTCAATTGTATCTAATTATGCAAGTGCTTGCACTAGATAGTTGAAGGTAAATCTAAAGAAAATTGGGCATAAATTGTACAGAAAATTGTTAAAAAAAAATTGTATAGTGTATGGCCAGCCTTTAACCATTAGCCGCCCGGCCTATAGCCGTTTGGCAGCCGCAAAAATGCTTCAGTTTTCTGAGTGCACGCCATTTGGCGTGCTCCCGCAAATGCGCGGTTTTGAAGAGCCGCGCAGCGGCGCGATCTGTCACCGGCCGTGTACCTCGGACACGGCCGATGACAAATCTGAGTACCGGCCCCCATTGCTGGTACCATGTGACCTGCTGTGACCAATCACAGCAGGTCACATGACGGTTGTATACAATGGATGGCTTCATGCCATCCATTGTATACTAGTGCCTAGCTGTGAATGGTCACAGCAGGTCACATGCACATGTCATGTGATTAGCTGTGGCAAAATCACAGCTAAGCACACACAAAAAAAAAAAAAAAACCTGAATGAATCGGTCATTCAGGTAAATGCTTGCTTAAGCAAAGTAATTCATTGCTATAAGCAAATTGTGTAAAAAAACAAAAAAAAAAAAACCAAACTGATCACTTCCCCAAAGTAATACAATGTTACTATGGTAACATTGTATTATTTTGGTCATAGTAAAATATGAAAAAAAATCTTAAAACAAATAAAAAAAAAATGTAATAAAAAATTAAAAATAATAAAATAAAAAAAAATATATATTTTTTTTCATACTGTCACCAGTCAGTGTCCCTGTTCACCGCCATGCCAGTTATATGATGACGCTGTACTGCACTGGTGACAGTATGTAAAAAAAAAAAAAAATAGTGAAAATAATTTTTTTAAATTTTTTCTTTTTCCGAAAAATTATGACAAAAAAAATACAACTTCAAAAAACTTGCCATTCCTCTTATGAAATACGTCCGACTGTCTACTCTGCAAAAAGGGGTCATTTGGGGATATCTGTACTGTTCTGACATTCTTGGACCTCAAGAAATTAGATTGGCTGTCAGTACTTCAGGATTGATCAATTTTCAGATCTATACCATAGTTTGTGAACTCTATAACTTTCCTACAAACTAAATAATACATCCTAATTTGGGTTATTTTCACCAAAGACATGTAGCAGAATACATCTTGGCCTAAATTTATGAACAACAATTATTTATTTGTAAACTTTTATAACAGAAACAAAGAAAAAACATGTTTTTTTTTCAAAATTTTTTTTTTGTTAATTTAGCAAAAAATAAAAACCCCAGTGGTGATTAAATACCACCAAAAGAAAGCTCTAGTTGTGTGAAGAAAATTATAAAATTTTAGTTTGGGTACAATGTTGTATGACCGCGCAATTGTCATTCAAAGTGTGAGAGTGCTGAAACGTGAAAAATGGCCTGGGCAGGAAGGTGTAAAATTGCCCGGTATTGAAATGGTTAACCACTTGCCTACCGAGCACTTATACCCCCTTCTTTACCAGGCCAATTTTCAGCTTTCAGCGCTGTCGCACTTTGACAATTGTGCGGTCATGCAAGATTATACCCATATGAAATTTTTATCATTTTTTTTCTCACTAATAGAGCTTTCTTTTGGTGGTATTTAATCGCTGCTGGGCGCTTTTACTTTTTGCGCTATAAACAAAAAGTGTGCAAAAAAAAAAGTTTCTTTTGTTTCTATTATAAAATTTTTCAAACAGGTAATTTTTCTCCTTCACTGATGTGCGTTGATGGGCAGCACTGATGGGCACTAATAGGCGGCACTGGGCACTAATAGGCGGCACTGATGGGTACTGATAGGCAGCACTGATAGGTGGCACTGACTGGCATCACTGATGGGCATTGACTGGCGGCACTGCTAGGCATTGACTGGCGCAACTGCTGGGCACTGACTGGCACAACCGCTGGGCACTGACTGGTGGCAGCACAGGTGGGCGGCACTGCTGGGCACAGGTGGGCAGCACTGCTGGGCACAGGTGGGCGGCACTGGTGGGTGGCGCTGCTGGGCACCGATCATCAGGGCACTGATGAGCGGTGCTGATCCCTGCTCTGACAACTGCCGGTTCTTGGCAGTACTTTCCTCACACTCTGACAGCGTGAGAAAAGTGCAGCCGAGAACCAGCAATTGCATTTCCCGGTGATCAGCGTGTCATTGGACATGGCTGATCACATGGTAAAAGGCTGCTGTGATTGGCCTTTTACCACATCACAGAGATCGCCGGGTGCGCGCCCCCGGGGGCGCACAGGAGAACGTGTTCTGGGACTAGTCGGCCGCAGTGTAGCCGTCATTCGGCTATCTGCGGTTGGCAAGTAGTTGAAAGGTGATGGGGGAAGGGGGGGAGCTCCAGCACTCAGCCTTTGACTTATATTCACAGCTGTGCTGTGCCCCTTCCCTGCAATCAGGGCTCACAGCTGTCCCTCTGCTGCTAGAGCTGAAAGAAATCCTTTTGTCTGTGTTTTCATTAGCGGTGCACTGAAATGAAAGTTCTTGGACCGAATTCGAAAATTCAGTACGCAGTTGGCCAAAAACCGAAATGGACAGTTTTTTTTTTTTTTTTTTTTAATATATATATTCTGTTTGACATTTTGCTTAATATCATGAATTTAAATGTATATCAACTTAGTTTCAGCACCTTTTCGGGCCAATAGGCTGCTTTCACACTGAGCAGTTTTTGCAGCACTTTTGCTGCAAAAAAAAAAAGGCACGAGAAAAGCTAAAAAAAAATGCATCCTTAAATTCAATCACGCTGGTCTGTTAAAAAATCTTGCTTGCTGCATTTTTAGTGCATATTTATTATTATTATTATTATTATTATTATATTATACAGGATTTATATAGCGCCAACAGTTTGCTGAGCGCTTTATAATATAACGGGAGATAATACAGCAACAATACAGTTCAATACAAGAGGGATAGGAGGGCAAATCTATTTAACATTTAACATGGTTTCCCAAGGGACAAGTTCTATGCTTTTTTGAGCTGCTGTGTTTTTGGAAAGTGTCAGGGACATTTTTTAAACGCAAAATGTTGCTTTTTGTGGTTCAACAGACTTCAAAGGAGATGCTGCAGAAAACGCATTTAGTGTATCTTTGATGCGTTTTTACGCGCTTTGTGTGTTTTTAATCAGCCCAGCAACAAATTGGCCAAAAAAAGAACATTTAAAAACATAAAACGTGTCAAATACACGTGTGCAAAAACCCAAAGGCATTGCATAAAGCACCGCAAAATAGACAAAATGCAAACTACATTGGTGTAAACCAGGCCTGAAATGCATTGAAAACGCATAAAAAAATGCAAACTGCATAAAAGAAGCTTCAAAAACACAAAACACAGTGCAAAATGGAAACTTCATTGTTGTGAACCAGGCCAGAAATGCATTAAAAATGCATGTGTTGTGTTTTTTGATGCGTTTTTAATCTGTCCAACAACAAGTTGGCCAAAATAAAATTTCATAACACATAAAAAAAACCCACATCCAAAATGCAATGCAAAAAAGCACTGCAAAACAGACAAAACACAAGCTGAATTGGTGTGAACCAGGCCTGAAATGCATTCAAAATATCAAAAACGCTCATGTGTTGGGTTTGTGTTGCATTTTCCTTTTTTTAATATGCCCAGCAACAAGTTGGCCAAAAAAGAAAAAACCCATACAAAAACCGCAAAATACATATAAAAGCTTCAAAAATGTGCATGAAAAAAGCATGGCAAAATTGACAAAATGCAAAAACTCAAAAGCGCACGTGTTACGTTTTCCATTTTTAATCTGCCCAGCAACAAGTTGGCCAAAAAAAAATTATTCCAAAACTGGATCAAAAAAGCGTAAAAATTGCGCACAAAGAACACAATGCACTGCGAAAAGCGCTGCAAAATGGACATAATACAAACTGCATTGGTATGAAACAGGCCTGAAAGGCATTGAAAACGCAGCAAAACTGCATTTGTTGTGTTTTTTTTTAATTTCAATATCTTTTTATTTTCACATAAACCAAGAACAGGGTCAAATATGGTTATACAGAAACCAACTGAGACATCAGTACGCGATTATAAGACCTTTTCAGAAAAATATGCCATATGGTAAGCAGTCTGTATCATTTTGATGTCAGTTATACCACATACAATTGTGAGTCCCAGTTATTTGTTGAAAAAAGGAAGTATAAGGGCAAACAAATTAAATTAACCAAAGTAATTGAACAGTTTATGGGCCAAGATTCTTGGCATGCTCCAGTTTACTTAACAAAGTTATAAGATATTACAGTGTTTACCCTTGCAAATTCCTTTGAAATGTGTACCATTGATTCCAAATCTGCCAGGTCTTACTGAAGGTAGAATATTTTCCCAGTATTAATGGCTAACATATTTTTGTATGTGTAGTGAGTATTACGTATGGTTTCAACTATATTTGGGGAGGTTGTTGATCTCCAGATGCGTAAAATTGCCAGCTTTGCTGCCAAGAATAAGTGAGTCATGAATTGTCTATAGGAGAGAGGGATAGCCTCTATCCCTAGGTAAAAATGGCTAATGAAGGCGAGAGGGTGGAATATGTAGACCAGTAATCTGGGTGATAATGTCAAACACCGACAGCCAGAAGCAATCCAATTTACCAAATGACCAATGGATGTGTTATAAAGTGCCGGTTTGCTGACATTGCCTCCAGCACAGAGGGGATTGAGAGGATTGAAATTTAGACAAACTATGCGGATTAAGATACCGTCTCAACATAATTCTCTAAGTAATTTATTTGTTGCGTTTTTTATGAGTTTTTAGTCTTCACTGATGTCAAAAACCCTGCATGAAAATATGCAAAATGCACTGTAAAACGGACAAAACGCAAACTGCATTAGTGTGAACCAGGCTGGAAATACATTGAAAACCAATCAAAAGTGCACTCTAAACGTGGCAAAATCGTGCATTTCTGGCGGTCGTTATCGGCACCTTTTTTCATATCTACAAAATGCAGATAACACTATTTTCGGACGGTATATAAGTGTATCCCTAGTTTTCAAAACAAAATATATGCAGACACACAGGTACAACTTGTGTAGGAGGATTTAGTTTATTCGAATTCAAAACTTTTTCTTGATCTAGGATAGGAAAGGGTTAAACCCACTGGCATTATTTTCCCTTGCGTTCCTCGGCACCTCCTATGGGCAGTTCTCTCTAGGTATAAAACCCCCTCTCTGCTATAGGCAAGCCAGTTATTTCTGCCTATTGTTTCAGGAGTAAGGTCCTAGTTTCCTGCTGGGACCTGTGGTTCCTGGGATTTTTCCTGTGGAGACCTTCAGTCAACAGCCGGGTTGGTCGACGGCTGGATAATCTGAATCCAGTGGTCACCCAGCCTGGCCAACGAGCTCATGCAGATCTTTAGCTGAGTCCTGGGTCGACTGCGACAAATCCCATCCTGGACCAGGGCGGCCAGTGAGTTAAACGTCTTGCGGGGACACACATGACTGGCTCCTGCAGTCTGTGTCAGTGTTATCCTGGCTGACAGCGTCCACCACTTCAGAGGAAAGGAGGATCTGTCATGGTAACCTTACCCACACACTCCACTGGATTGGTAAGTAAATGCTGTGACGATATCGGCGTCAGACCCCATCCCTTCTCACCAAACTCGTGACTGAAGGACTAGCCAATCTAAAACCGCGAGGTCATGTGCGTAACAATGCCACACCCAGCTGCACCCTGCACACCAGTTTTCCAGCAAATGGACCACAACTTGTGTACTTGCAGCCTGAGTGTTTGTTACTGGGTCAGGTTAATTACTCAATTAACCCTTCACACTGCCACCACCTCCTTTTTGTGCAGAGAAAGAGGAAACTCAGCAATATTAGCAATACACTATGATGGTTAGATAATTGCCTGTATACCACTGTCACCGCAGACAGGTTATACAGAGGGTTAAACACACACAGTAGCGTTCTTCAGCGGCTTGAATTCGTGTTTGCATTAAAGAGCTTTAGAAACAGTTCAACACTTTCAGAAAGTAAGATTTATTACTAAAAGGTCAAAAGGGTTGCAATAAAAATATTTACAGAAAAAAGATGTAACCATATATATATATATATATATATATATACATAAATATACAGAGAACAATAGCACAGCAAAGAGAAAACAGGAGTTTAAAGGGTTAAAGTACTTGCCAATCAGCCTTGGTTTAAGCAGTTTCAAGTCTTATGAGTGCAAAAAGGATTTCTTGTCTCTCACTCAGTTTCGATGTTAAACGGGGACTCTTTTCTCTCACACCCACAATTCCAAGCATAACAGACCTTTTTCTAGGATCTCAGCAAGGTGTCTCTTTGGAGTAGTAAACCAATCGTCTCCTTTTAGGGAGGGGAGTGTAGGTGGAGACTTAAGGTATACCCAGAAATTCTCATAGCTGCTATTAAGATTCATAACTTGGTCTAGGGGCATTTTCTGGCCTGGCCACTAGTATATTAATATTCAGCTGCGGAATGGTTAGAGATAAAACATGTCATATACACCTGAATGGTTCAGGAGATATACTTTTCTGCTTTTCTATGTATGCCAGTTAAGGGGTGTAACAAACAGGAGAATGGTCTCAAATTGAGCCTTCCAAATATGGGCTCCGTGTTTAGGTAATTATGTCCTACGTGAAGATATCAACTTATATGAAAAAGTGAGTTTTTAAAAGTAAGTCTGTCTTTATGACCCCTTGGAAGGTCTTTTGAAGTTCAGTGAGGGACCTGGTTTATACTTTTACGATATGCCAGATTGCACAGTTTCTTAGACAGCTAGGCCCCAGCTCCCTTGGGGGTTTTATAGCTTGGAGCTCCCTGCGGTGCTTTGGCTGCCTGTGACCTCTGCCAACGCACACCGACCACATGTCACTCAACCGAGAGGGAGGGGGGATGATCAAAGAGGGGGAGTAGGGTCTACAAGTTGGAGGGTTGGAGCAAAATGGTTAAACCGCGTCCATCTCTGTTTTATACGCTTGTTACAGATGCCCCCCCTTCCCTCACTGGACATGGCACAGACACTTCCTAGGGTGGTTGATCAATGGTAGTCAGTCCCCCCCCCCCCCCCCCACGTGAGGTTCACCTGCCTGCAGTTTGTCCTGCCTAGATGTGCAGAACCCAGGTGATTGT